TCACTCTGCCGCCTGCCGTCAAGTCCTCATATTTACTCTGGCGGGTCGAACGGGTAGGCCTACGTTACCACTCCTGAGGCATTTCTAAAATATAGGCGCGTCTTCCTTGCAATACCAATTTGACTTACGTTACCGAATCTAACCTGCGTGTCACTGGCTGCATATGATTCCACAAAGCAATCAAGTCATGCTTAACAATAACTCGTTTTCTCTGCGACGCCGCCGAGCTTGGGCGAACGTGTCTGGCTCACAACACGGCAGCTGGAGAAGGCTATGGATGCCAGTGTCTAGTCACTGTGCGTGTGGCATCTGTGTCTGAATGACATGCGCAAGGTAGCAATATTTCACGTGGCACATTACACATGATTTCCTAAGGCTGTATAAACTGCCTTGTTGAGATATTACTTTCTGATCGTACGGTACTTCTTTCTCGACATGATATGGATTTGATATTTCTAAAATGTTATTTACACAGTATAGTGGGTTTCCTTTGATTATGCGATAGTGTATTTGTAATATTAATGATTTTCTAGGACAGAGAAAGTAAAAATAGACATTGCTGGAGTGTGAGTTGCAAGGAGAATATGAAAATAAGCGTGAGGCGTCTGTGCTTGCATGTGCATGGCCATATAAGGTGAACGAATTTCCCATTTCCATCCTGGATTTTCCAATTCTATGTCCACTTCGGCTTTGATTTTCTCCGTTGCTATATCTTTGAGTCTTTATTATTTCTTATCCCACTCAAACCTTTTCACAGAGACGAGAATATAAAGATAACGAAATCAGGTGCTGTTCGGTTCCCTGGCTCCCCCCCCCCCCTCCCCGGCCTGCATCTCGCCTGGCCGGAGGTCGTTGATACCAGGCGGTGCGGAAATCGGCTACACAGCTCCCATAATCCCAGAAATTCGGAACGTTACTGCTCGAATCTCTTACAATATATTTCTTTCTGACATTATATTTTCTTTCGAAATCATCTTCCATGAAAAAACGATACGTAATATTGCTGGTTTCCAGGAAGAAAGATTTACGTTCAGTCTGAAAAGTTTTGACAATAAAGCTCCGAGAATGAGAGAGTCGACAAAAGGAACTACTGTGAACAGAGACAAAGGAAGCAAGACAAGCGAACTCCATTTCTTTAATTAGTTACGTAAAACTTTTTGTAAATGTACTTTTCCAACTACAAACATCCATATACTGTTTATACGACTGCGCATATTCCGGTGTTTCAGTTGACAGTTGCAGCCAGTTCCAGTAGGGCGAGGTTTAATCACACGGACAGCAGCAAACTGGTTTAGTACCAGCACAATGCCAAGTTTTACGGGGTTGAGGGATCATGCATGCGTGTGTGTGCGCCTGTATACGTACATTTAAAGGCTTATGTATACACATAAAAAATGGATACACACGAAACGGTATGCATACATGTACTTGTCCATGAAACACATACAAAGGTTAATATATAGAGACAAGAAATAAATGGGAGTAGAGGACAGAGATAAGAGGATGGAGGGATGTGGAGGTGGAAAGACAGAATTAGATGGAGAAGTAGAGAAAGAGAGAGCTAGAGAGAGAGAGAGAGAGAGACTCTGACTTTTACAGAGCGAAACAATGAAAAGACAGGAGAAAGAGAAAAGCATGGAAGGAGGGAGAGAGAGAGAGAGAGGGAGGAGGGAGGAGAGAGAGGGAGAGAGGAGAGAGGGAGAGAGGGAGAGAGGGAGAGAGGGGAGAGAGGGAGAGAGGAGGAGAGAGAGAGAGAGAGAGAGAGAGAGAGAGAGAGAGAGAGAGAGAGAGAGAGAGAGAGAGGAGAGAAGAGAGAGTGAGAGAGAGAGAGGAAGGGAGGAGGGAGAGAGGAGAGAGAAAGAGAGAGAGAGAGAGAGAGAGAGAGAGAGAGAGAGAGAGAGAAGAGAGAGAGAGAGGGAGGAAGGGAGGGAGAAAGAGAGAGAGAGAGAGAGAGAGAGAAGAGAAGAGAGAGGAGAGAGAGAGAGAGAGAGAGAGAGAGAGAGAGAGAGAGAGAGAGAGATTGAGAGAGAGAGAGAGAGAGAAGAGAGAGAGAGAGAGAGAGAGAGAGAGAGAGAGAGAGGAGCAAGAGAGAGAGAGAGAGAAAAGAGAGAGAGAGAGAGAGAGAGAGAGAGAGAGAGGAAAAAGCAGAGAAAAAAGAAAAAAAGAACAAATGGAAGACACACACACACACACACACACACACACACACACACCACCCCTACCCCATAAAAATAAAAATCGATGTCTAGCTCTCTTGCTGTTTGCTTTGGACAGGCAATGTTGACAAACCTCGACCTGCACTTTGGGAAGAATCTAACGTCAAATATTAGCCAGCAGTGTCTCTCAAATGCCAAGTAACATTAAGGACAGAGAAAAAAGAGGTCAAAGAAAAATGCATACCAGGTCATCGTTTGGTTTGACTGGTGGTCTCTATATTTGGGCTCTTAAAAGCATGTTATTTCCCAGGTGACTGGAGGAGTGATAATCTGTGAGTGGCAGCTGATAACATGACACGCCACAGCACCTTCAGGTTGATATGACGTATCTGACAGGCACACGTAATTGTAGGGGCGGAGAGGAGGTCGGGAGAGACTGATGGAAAGTGGGGTGGGAATGTGTGTTTGTTTGTGTGTGTGTAAGTGTGTAAGTGTAGGTGTGTGTGTGTGTGTGTGTATGTGTGTGTGTGTGTGTGTGTGTGTGTGTGTGTGTGTGTGTGTGTGTGTGTTGTGTGTGGTGGTTGTGTGTGTGTGTGTGTGTGTGTAGGTGTGTGTATGCGTCTAGGGTAGAGAGAGAAGGGGGAGATGGAAAGACGGAGAAAGGTAGGAGGCAAAGGGGTAAGGAGGGAGGGGGAGGGGGAGAGGGAAGAGTATGGGGAGGGCAGGAGGGGGAGATGAAATGAGGGGAATCTGGAGATGGTACGAGGAAGGGGGGGGGGTAAGGGAGGGTATGGGGGAAAGGGAAGACTATAGGGAGGGTAGGAGAGGAAGGGGGAGTGAGTAGGGTATCGGAAAGGTGGGGGGGGGTGAAGGAGTAGGCCAACGAGAGGAGGGGGGGAGGGGGTTTGAAGGAGTAGGGGGAGAGTGTGGGGAAGGAGGGGGAGGGGGGTTTGAAGGAGTAGGGGGAGAGTATGGGGAAGGAGGGGGGGGTTCTAGGCCGTGATCCTCCGTGAGAAAATCTATACCATACTCTCCTTGGCTTGAGAGGACTGAGCCCATACAACACCGAACCTGCTAAACTGCGGCGGCGTTTCTCGTGCACCAAAACTATTAAAAATGCACATGATATATTATATATATATATATATATATATATATATATATATATATATATATATATATAATTTTATTTTATTTATTTATCTATTTATTTTTTTTTTTTTTCAAGGTGGGATCATATTTTCCTAAGGACTGAAGTCATATTCATAGGGTAGTGAGGAGAGCGGACGA